AGATATTTATAACACACTTTATTTGAATTTCCTTTGTTCTATCTATTAGTAATAGATCATCTGCAAACATCAAATGCGAGATCCATGATAAAGATAAGGCAATATGGGATCCCCTTGACTGATGCCACATTGAGGTCTATAGAACTCACTTCTAGCTCCATTTCATTTCACATTTGTCTCTACGCTTGTTACCGCATGCATAACCGCATGCATAATTACGTTGATGATATTTTCTAGAAATTGGGTTTCCTTAAGCATTCTACAAATGAACTCCTAACTAACTTTGTCATACACCCTAGAGAGGTCCATTTGACGACAAAGCATCCTTTTCGGCCTTTCATATTATGCATATTTTGCATCACCTCCTTGGAAATGATAATGTTCTCTTGAATGTTTCTCCTCGAAACTTTATCAAGAGAGATGAGATCTGATATGCATGCTTTAAACCTATTTACTACCTACCACCTTCCTTACCGCTTTGTAAATAGCATTACATAACGATATTGGTAGAAATTAAGATGCCACTTGAGGTTGCTTCTCTTTAAGTATCAAACAAATATTTGCCTAGTTAGTGTTCATAACTTCACAAAAGTTCCTCCATACTCTTTGCACTAACTCAAACACTTTATTCCCTACCGTACTTCATGAATTTTGATAGAATCCAATTGGAAATTTTTTCGGACCTAGGGATTTCCAGGGAATCCTGGAAAAATTGTGCCTCTAACATCCTCACCTTCAACTTGATTACTAAGCCTTTGATAATAAACTTTTGATAATAAACATTAATCAACGATTTGAGATCCTTCTCCTCTTCTAGCTAATTACCTTGATCATTCTTTAACATAATAATTTTATTATGCCACCTTCTATTGATGGTCTTTATGTGGTAGTACTTCGTATTTCGATCTACATCTACGGGCCATTTCGATTGGGACCGTTAGTACCACATTAGTTCCTCCTTTTTAAGGATATCACTTAACTTCTTATGAAGTGTCTGTTCTAGTTTAATCAACCTTGCATGAATACCTCTGCTTTGCATGCTACTCGGGACTTCTTTTAATCTCTTCATAAGCTCTTTTTTCTTACATATGACTTGATTTATCGTGTTAAATTTTCATCCCTTTATTTTATCTCTAACCTTTATCGTGTTATTCTTCATCATTTTGTCTTCTTTCCAAACTGCCTTTAAAATTTCAATTAGGAATGATAATTGTAACCATCTTCAGTGGATACCCGCAAAAATTATCCAGTACGGGTAGAATAAAAATTCACAAAATGGATATACGGGCAATTATCTATTAAAATAAACAGATATGGATGCGGGTACAGGTATCTTAGTATCCAACTCGTCTCATACTCGCACAATATATATTTTTATATTTTTATTTTCAATCTAACAATTTTATTAAATGCATCGCTATTAAATTTCTACGCATTTTAATATAAATATTTGTTTATTTTTTAACTCAACAATAACATCCTCAAAATTTTTTAAAATATTATTAAAAAATTAAAATGACATGATAAATTATAATTGATCGATCATTTTTTATTATAAATGTGGGACGGGTATAGGTATGGATACTTAGGTACCAATAGGGTACATGTACAAATGTTGGTGCCCATGCAGGTATGCGTTTGCGTACAGGAATTTTTTAAAACTACGTGTTTTAGGAAGGGAACTATAGTACCCTGCCCATTGTCATCCTAATTTCAACATTTCCTTATAAGAATCTACAAGGAGCCAGACACTCTCGAATTTAAATTATCTCAGTGCCCAGTAGTTAGGGGTAGAAATAGGTTGAGTCGAGTTAGACTTTGTCAAACCTGAGTCTGGCCTGCTCAAAATTCCAAAGCTTAAGTCTGGTCTATGGTCTATCGTAGGTTTATTTTTAGGTCTAAGTCTGGAATTCTCGAATGCATATTTGACCTATTAGCCTACATAAAAGCATATTCTATTTGAACGTTTGTAAATAAGCAATTACATTAATGTTTAAATAGACTAACAAATTAAAATATCAATGAGACTAAATATTTATGTGCATTGACTTATTCAAGTTTACATATTACCATAAGTTTTGTGATGCTATTTTTTTAGAGAACTTATGAAAACAACTTATGACATTGTTAATAAGGTTTTTTTTAACTTATTTTGATAAGTTCTTCAAGATAACTAAGTTCTAAATTGTACTGATTTTGAGTGTGAATAATTGATACTTATTGACTTGATTCATTGGTTTTCTGTTAATAATCTTTTGTTTTGTGTACTTTTTGTATAGTTTACATTATAGTGTATATATTGTGTATCATGTAAATATCATTGAGTTTAATTATTTCTCTCTCACTTTTTATAGCTATACAAGCAATGATATTTTGTTATTGTTTTATAGAGCATTGAATAAGCTCTTCAACGCTTCCGACCGCGCGTAAAACGGAGTTACGGTTTAAAAGTTATGGTTGAAACAAGTGTTGGTCTGCTGTCATGTTCGTTCTGCGAACTGGGGGCGAGCGAACTCGCCAAGAGTTCACACTACGAACTCAAGGTGAATAAAAATTGCCCATAAGCGTGGAAAACACTGTTTTGGCAGTAGCTAAGGCGGCATATGTTTGTTGGGCGAACGGGAGTTCGCAGTGCGAACACAGGAACCCATTTTTGCTTATTTAAGTCACTTTTCAACATTTTTTAAGTTATGTTGTTGGGAACTTTTTACCCCAACTTCATCAAACACATTCTTGAGTAGATTGAGCTTAGAAACAACACATGGAGTGCATATCTTAACGATCTAGAGTCGAATCCACTTCAATCGGAGTTGACAAACCGTGAAATTTGTATTCTTTTTCTCTCTTCTCTTTGTACCCTCTATTTGTTAGGGTTTTGTATGTAAGTTTATCTTAATTGTATGTATATTTATGGATCTTTGTATAAAATCTCTTTTACAACTCCTTATCGATGGTTATCTTTGATTTTTTACTTAATGGGTTTGGATTGTTATACATATATACGGTTCGAACTCAATCTAAGATGAACATATGTTAGATTCTAAACTTTATACATAGATTTAGGTCTAATATTCACGTGGATATCAGTTTTTAATGCTCCGTATTGTTGAGTTGCGTGAAACATCACCGATGAGATGATACGGTTGATCTCTCGACTTTGCGTTAGACATAACCTCTGCTGTAAGCGATACGTAATGATATTGACGAGTGATTTAGGTTGTGTGCATTTGATCCATATATTATTTTAGTACATTATGGGTAGAACGAAATACAACTTCTGACGAGTTTTCTCATTTCTTAAGAATGTATTTATTTTCTTGTTTTATGTTTTTCTTTTGTACTTTTATCCCAAAACATTTAAATCCAAGTTTAGAGACATAGAGATTGTCGAACGACATTATTTCTCTCGCGCCGATTTCTGTGAAGACGACATAAATCTAGGAGAAAATTCTTCCAAAAATATATATTTTTGTTTGCCGCTTTACACCTTCAACATAATAATAATAATAAATTATTCATATTTATTTAAATAGATCGGCATGATAGGCTTAAAAAGCTTTTTTATAGCCTTTACGCTAATATTTTTAACTAAATAGACTTATAAAAAATCATAGGTCTTTTTTATTTTTAAAAAAAAAATCTGATCTGACTTAAATCTGTGTAGGTTAAACCGTATGTCCCTGTCAGTTAATCTGACTTATTTTCTAGTTAATTACTGGCCTAACTTTTTTATTTGAAAACCGAATCACAGGCATAATTAAAATGGATGATGATTAGAAAATTTCACTCTAGTTAACACCTTCTCATATTCTTTATGCATATAAAATCCTTTTTTTTATTTTTAAGTTGAAATTATGCATAACCGAGAGTTCAAAATCCTGTTAATTAATTTTCAATTTTAAAACAATTCATTTTATTAATTTACAGTTTAATTAAATTTATGATTAGTTGATTGTATACTGCCTTTTGTTGATTAGAACTTTAAACGACACAAATTGAATTCCCACTTGATCCGCGCACAAAGAAAAAAATACGACACAGTTGAAATTGATCACATGTATAAACGTTTGTACGACAGATCATGTGAAAAATGATAATAAAAGATTAAAAAAAAGGTTTTTGATAAATTTATATGAACAATGACAGTTTCGTGCTATTAAATTTAAGGTTAGTTTTGAAGTATGACTAAAAATTCTAAATATTTCCGTTCCTTCTAACAAATCCATTTATCTATGCAGATAACCTTAGTTTTAATCTAGTCTATATAATTAAATCACTCAAAGCCTAACACAGCTAGTGAATAATAGTTTTGGTTAATTTAATCAAATAAAGAACAATACGAGGTTGAATAACGTAGCAGCATTCTACCTGTTTGTACTTTTAAACTATCTAACTGAAAAACAAATAATTGAAAGCATTGTAAATTCGGTTTCTTTTTCCGCCCCTTTCAGTTAGAATGACATGTATGATTGTGAGGTGAATCCATCCTGATTTTCAATTAGAAAATTTAATAAGCACAACTAAACTGATGAATCATAAGAACAGAATCAGATGGATCGTAAAGTAGATGTCTATCTAATAAAACCTGAAACTTTGTTGAATTAGGATTGTAAAGTAGATATCTATCTAATGAAACCTGAAACTTTGTTGAATTATGATCCTAAAGTAGATGTCTATCTAATAAAACCTGAAACTTTGTTGAATTAGAAAGGCATCCAGTAGCTAGAATCAAGTCCAAGCAACCCAAACATTTGGAAGATTTACTCTATAGATTTAGATAGAATGGCATGACATGGCCTTAAAGACTGTCCGTAAAGTATTTAAAACCCTGAATTTTACATTAACCTGGTATTTACAACTGTTTTACTGTTACACTATTGTATATACTATTCATGAAAGCAATAATCTTAACTATTTTATCTTGTATATAGAAAAGTGAATTATGTACAACTAACAAATAAATGCAGAGTGATACAACATCTACAAAAATTTGTCGGAACTCAAGGAGAAGATATGCATGCTAGCAACTTGCTACATAGCTGTCGTAACTCAGGTGAAGGATCTGACGAAGATACCGTTGACAGTACAGACCTAGCTTCTAATAATCCAACTGATATGCTTTCCAAAATCACATCTTCGCTGGCCATAAGAGAGGCTATAAGCTTTGCACCAGCCATCCTCTCCTGTTGAACATTTAATAATACACCAATATATTAAATACATTTGTCCTGTACATTTTGGATCGGTTTGCGAGTTGGTTTTTAGAAGGTTTTGGAGGGAAAAGCATTGAAGGACTACGTATATTCTGATATATATTTGATATTTTAAAAGAAAAAAGAAACATGATACAATAGTATATATTAGCATATTATTTTTTAAAAAAATTTTAGAATATCAAACACATCAAAATATAGTCGTAGTATCTTCTCTTCAAACAGCATGACTCACAACACTCACCTCCAATAAATTTAAAACAAAATACAATGCAAGTTTTTGCCAGTAGATAAGCATACGAAAGAATTTACTAAAATTGCTTATCTCAATAAAATTACTTTTATGGTATTACTGTAGAATAGAGAAATTTACCTTCCCCGACTCCTTTCTCAGAGCTTTTAGTGAGGTTTTGAGAAGGTCATATGCATAGGGAAGAACTGCAGAGCGTAGATGATAGACAGCTGAAAATAGGACCTGGATGCATGCTGCTCTAATCTCCGACTTTAATTCAAACTGTTGACAAAGTACCAGTGTCAATAACCCAACAATAGTGATGGTAAAGTTTCGAGAATTGTGAACAAAATCATACTTTCAGGTAATCAAGAACTAAATTTACTGTGGTACCTTGAGAGAATCAATGAGAAAAGGAAGGACTTGGGCTGCAAAATGCTTCTTGCAAGATTCTGAAATCTTCTGGCAAGTACTGATAAGAACATTACCCATGCACAAGCGAAAAGAGAGAGGAACTGCAGCCACAGATTCACAGTTTTCCTCACCAAACTCAGGATTAGAAGTCTGTTCCTTCCTATCGATAAAAAACTGATTCATCACACGGGTGACAATGGAATCTCCTGCAGCTGCAGACTCAACAGGTTTACAAAGAAGCCACATTCAACTACAATTATATACTTAAAATTCTCATATCATACAACTCTGATACCTTTCTTTCCAATAACCCTAATTCTATCTGATGTGGAGTCTGTGATAGATTCCTCAGCTTGTAGTTCAACACATATCATCAGTGCTAGACAATCAATGCATCCATGTTGTACTTTAGAAACTGAAAAAGAAAAAAAAAAGGTGTGCCTGTCAATTAGTTTTAGTTCATACAAATTTGAAAGGAACTAAAAAACTAAATAGCCTCAGACCTGAATCAGCATTCAGACAAGGCCATAATAGCACTGTTTCTACCATCCTTTTAATTGTATGCATCAAAGGATGAGAAAGTGACTCCCAGCCTCTGACCTATAAATCCAAAAAAAGAAAAGGGACTTCACTGCAACCTAGCTTGAAAAAGGATAATGCTAGACACTGAAAAAGACATTTAAAAAGCCGAACATGACATACTAAATATTGATGGAAGAAAACAATTACCATCAGGGATGTGCAGATTGAAAATAAACAGGCCTTTATCTTCAGTACATTCTTAGAATCAACAAACAGCTCTAATTTGGAGCAAATAATTGGGAGTAAGACCTAAAGAATCAGCAGTATGGGAAGGTTAAAGTAATCTCTAAAAACTGCTAAGCAAATAATAAAGGTTTCCTGCAGTGCCAGAACAGGATTTGATCCAGATAGATATCTGCCAAAAAGAGAATCTAATGCAATCTATGGATTTGTACATTTTAACGCTTTAAAAATCGTCACAACCAATTATCTAAACTGACAGAAATAAGAACTCTGTCAAAGCAAAAGTTTATCTCGGGTGCATGATGAATTGCTTGCCATGTTTTCAATCATGTTGTACATTGTAAAAAATTCTCAGACTACATTGTAAATAAAACAAGGCTCTTCTACGCTTTAGGAGTAAAATACTTATGACATCCTAAAACATTCAAACTTAAATAAAATTATTCATTACTTGTGGATGAATGCGTCCACACAACTCAGCAGAAAGTTTCCGAACATCTTCAAATTCAAACTCATAAAGTGCCCTGAAACAAATTATTAGCAAGTCATGCACCAGTCGTTTATAATGATGGAAGAAGATAAAGACTATAATCATTGTTCGAATCCCAACCTGCTAAGAAGGAAAGAAGCAATACACTCATGATCAAGCTCTGGGCTCTTACTGCCTAAACCAATCATGCGAGAAGATTATGATGTATTAAAAGAAAAAAAAAGCAACTTACGGGCAGAATGTGCACACAATTACAGTAGTTTAAGCACGATACTAAAGAACCTGGAATTGACTGTTAGGAGTGAAATCCAAAGTGATGAGTTTGTATAACTGAACCTTAAGTGTGAAATGTTAAAGCATCAAAGATTTCTAGGTCAACCTTTTATTACCTACTCAATAAGTATCAATTACTATCATAGTTTCAAGCCCCTTAGAGCATCTCCGATGGGAGATGCTTTACCTAATAGGTACCAAACATGTTAGGAAGATGCACAAGTGTACATGTGGGACCAACTTGGGCACTCTGACATTATTCACTTAGTTTCAAATGCATCCCCAACATTACAAAATTAAAGTCATTATAGTCCACTCCTGCAAATACCAATGGAGGGATAAATCTTATTAATCTTTTGTAACTTAGAGATCATTTTGGAATATTGATAGTGAGAGACAAGGTCAATACAGATAGTCTGACAATTTCAATGACCAAATCGAGTATTCAATCTCTTTCTTACAACTACAAGGCTATCAAGTTTAGGTCCACTCGAGGGCATATCTAAACAAATTAGCGGAACATCAAATGTGACTCAATGTTTTAGATTTCAGAATGCAAGACATAATTATTACAACATTTGATTATATAAAAGAATAAGAAAGTTGGCAAGTTTTCCATCCAAATTTTGGAATGATAAAAAGAAACTAATATTTAAGTCAAAGAATCTCAGCAAGTAAATTTCAGCTACTAATTCTATATTAATAATTTTGTACAAACGGGAATGACACCTTGGTTCCATGATCGTTTAATTCACACATCAAAAGGGAGATATGGAAGCATGAATACTTACCATGCATTTTATTTTGACTGAAATGTCCATACATAACAGATGAATTGAGATCATCAAAAGTTTTCATGGGAAGCATCTTAATAATGAGTAGCGGGCAAAGATGATCAAATAGAGTTCGCTGCATTTCATCATACTCATCACTGGTGTAGGTTCTACACTCCCATTTTGATAAGAAACTTTCATCAATCCTGCTACAGAATTGAGAATGTATCAAACGACAAACCACTTAGATGACATACAGAATTACCAAGAAATCCAAATTAACAGAAGACAGGCAAAGATAGCTAGCTTAGCTAAAACAACAATTACCATATAATCAGGTAATATTTTGCTACTTTTCTTTTCAAGCATTCAAAGTGCAGCTAAGATCAGACACATTTTTTTTATCGCTTAAGCTTTAATTTTTTATAAGAACAACCAACCAAGCAACATAAAACAAATATGTAAGTTTCACACTCATTGTCTCCATAAAGAGCAGCATGACCAATCATTATATATTTATATATTCCTCCTAACCATTTCTTTTGCATCATAGTTTAGGGATTTGGGTATAATGGGGTGCACAAGTCCCGCATCGAGTAGTATGTGATGCTAGGTAGAGTACTTAAGTGACTTGGTTCTTCCCCTTAATAGATAGTTTTTAAGATAGGGTTCTCCAAGTGTTTGGATACTAATGAAATGGTATCATAGTTTGTTGATGGTGGCTTGGAAAACGGCTGCCTAAGGAGGGGCTGAACAGAAAAGCCGAGTAAAGTGTCAAATTGTGCAGCTGCCGGGACATCAATCCTTAGAGGCATTGCTATGATAGGGACTTGGGTATGGTTGTCAAAATCTCAATCTAGATCTTAAAATCTTAAGATTTTACGATTCCACTCATCCCCAACAATCCGGATCTTAAGTAGAATTGTGTGTTGAAGCAAATTGTGAAAAAAAATTGCATAGTCATTGATTTTGTGCGACCTTTGCCAGTTTTGCCCATGATTGGTCGTTTTTTGGCCACCGCAATTAAAGGTGAGAAGGATGACAACATGCAGAAGCACAACAATTACAGTTCGGCGGGGATGAATGCATGGCTTTTGAAATGATGAAGTTTTAGACTTAGGGTTTAGAGAATAAACATCTCAATTGTAAGGTTTTTTTAACAATTTGGCTTATGATAATCCTAGTAATTGACCAAATATATCCTAATGTCTAACAAATGTTCCATGTGGTAATAATTTAGTATAAAAACTCAATTATACATGTCTAAAGAATATGAAAAAGAGTCATTTTCTCACGAATACACTTGGGTACTAACATATATCGTGTAAAAATACTTTAAATATATACTATTATTTTTTCATTTTAGTAGGATCTTACGATTTTTGTTGCGATCTTGTTACCCCCCTCTCGATTTTACAAAAATAATTAGGCAAGATCTTCCCCCTTAATAACTATCTTTTAAGGGAGGGTTTCCAAAGTGCTTGGATCATTGAACAGATGCATACAACAGGTTTTTTAATAAAGTAATTTTATTTCTTTGAACTTAAACGGTGCACACAGCGGGTTTCTATCTCAGGCTAGGCTTTAAAAGTACAAATATAACTATCTTATTATGTGTCTGAATCTGATCAGGGTATCCCATATTTAATATAAACAGCTACATCTCTTTGGTGTTAGAGTTAAAGCTCTCTAGCACACAACTATCGAGGTAAAGAGATTATACTACAGCTTAACTGTTTCATTAAAAGGTTCATAGTAACATCCCTGATAATTAAAAGAGTTGTTTGAGGAAGTAAACACTTTAATTACTTTAAGAAGATAACCCAGACTCACCCCTTTTGTTCTCTAACATGCAACAGAACATGATGCAATACAAGATCAACAACAATTGCAAGGTCATCACTTATATAGCTGAATAACTTGACAATAGCTGCATTTGATGGATCTGCAAACATCTTGTCAATCAGCGGTCCAATTAAGTTGCTCCAGTCTTGAACCTGTTACGCATCAGAATTACCAAAACAGAATATTCTTCATAAATCTAAATCACCTGTATCTAAAGGAGCATTTATTGGAACAATTTATGAACATTTCACAACACCTATGACATCTTAGATGTCTAGAAATTCTCTCAGCCAAACAAAGTTTTTTTTTTTCCTTATGCCAATCACCTATTTGCATATTTCTTACTCAGACTCCAAATTGTGAGGGGAAAAAATCATGGATACTTCATAGCCATATTTATAACTACATGATCAATCTTACACTTTTAGACCATTCTGGAACCAGCTTTAGTACTCGGGCAGTATCTAACTTTGACTCTGCCACCAAAGAAAAAAGCATAAGCACATATAAAAGATCCATAATTTTAACCAACATGGAATAGAGTAACCTTTTAGACTTCAAGGCTGTCAAACTTGAGATTCTAGATAAACTCGTTTCAAATTTAAGCGGTAAACTCGTTTCTAATTTAAGAGGTAAACTCGGAAAGTAGACTCACCTGTCAAGTTAGTTATTCTAATGATCACGAGTTTAACATACTTCCCTAGCTATTGAAATACATAGAATCTCTTACATTTTGATAATTTTGATAATTTGGTCTTTGATGCTAATGTTTTACTTTGCTTTAATTGAATAAAGGATTTTCAACATCGTCTCCTTAACTTAGTACTTTGCTTTATTTTGTTGCTATGCTACTTTTTGATTATGGAATTAAAATATTAATTTTTTGTTGTCTTATAGTTATTAGTATTATATAAGTATATATGCCATGTATAGGAGTTTTTAATATTATTTTTACTATTGGGTAAAGTCTTAATAGTCTACGAGTCGAGTTTATGATCCGAGTTTACCCAGGCAAAATTGTTTTACCTAGAATTTTGTGTTTGACAACCTTGGCACACTACCTTTATCTCCAGCTGACTGTGGAAGATCTAGGCTCTGGCTGATGTTGCTGCAAGTAAGGAGGCAAACTTTTAGTCAAGCTGTGGTATCTTCACAAATCAATGCATTCATGGTTTTCGAATTCTAGCTGTAGAAATATAAGTTTACAGCTTTATGCTTTTATAAGTTCTGCTCGACAACTTTAAACGTCCATTAGAAAGAGCAGTGAAGAAAAGAAAACATACTTAAGACAGTCGACAAGTAAGAATATGATTTCAATATTCTGGTTGTGTCCTTTGAGCACCCCAATGATAGCATCACTGGCAGATGATTGATTCTCATCAGGGGAGTATACAAGGCGAACCAATGCAGGCAAATACATTGAAGGGTCTGCAAGATTAAGTGAATCAGCTATGAGAATATACCACCGTACAAGCAGTAATAAAATTACAAAAAGACATGTTTGAGCAATGAGCACCAAATCTTTAGAGGATAAACAATGGGTGTCACAATCATTCATATATGTCAGTTAACATATTTTCCTGACATTAAATGGATCGCCATAACATAATAATATGATATTAACAATAAAACAGGAATGCATTTGAACAAGGAATGGCAAATAATGAAGCACTTGAACAAGGAAATAAAGCAAGAGAGAACAGAAGTGAAAGGAGAATAGCACAAAGAAGCAATGAACCTGAAAACTAAAAGGCCTGTTTGGTTTACGAAACATTTTCCATTTTCAGTTTTTACCTTTAATTACAAAAAATCTGAGTATGCCACATTGTACTTCTTACTTTGTTTCTTGTTTTGAAAGATTTGTAAAGGAAACTGTGAAAAGAGATAAAGTAGTTTTCGCTGTTTCCTTTACAAATCTTTGAAAACAGGAAACAAAATGGTAGTTTTTTAATTAAACACAGACAAAATCAAAACAAAAAACAATTTCTGAAATCAAACAAAGACTATCAGGTGCGAACTCAGAAATTGAGTTTGATTACATCGTGAACACACTGCTCAACGTGAATGCCCTTTAGACTTGAGGCATGAATAAAGCACGTGTGCAGTGGCCATTAATACCTTCTACTTGAAATTTAATTTAGAGATAAACGATGGAGAGGATCAAGTTAAGCACTTGAACCATTTGGACAAAAGAGGCTCCATAACCATGTCAATCACCCTTAAAGCTTCAGTAAATACCAGAAGTCCCAATAATAAATTAAAAATATTTAAAAAATACACCTACTAGAAAGCCCAGTAATAATTTTAAATTAATATCACATAGGAAATATTAAAAATATACACCTTATACTCCATGTGTTAATGCTAACCTATCATTGGAAGCAACTTAGATGCCTGCTCACGAATGCCAATATCTTTATCTCCAAGCCGCTCAAGCAATGTGTTGGCAGTTTCTTGCCTAAAATGGACATATCAATAATCAAATATACAAACAGCTAAAAAAATACGGTATAGCTATATGGGCAACCATACCAAGCAGTAGAAGGCAATGATTTTCTTGTCTCTGATGATATATGCAAGATCTCTGCTATAACATCCATCGCATTTCTTCTTTGTGAAATGTTTTCAGAAGCAAGACGTTTCAGAACTTCCATGAGGCACATATCATCTTTGCTTCTGGTAGATTATCATAAGAAAGCTCTAAATTAGAAAAGGAAAGATTTCGGACTTGAAAAGTAGATTTAACTATTCCTACTCATAATCAAATGAGAAAGAATAGACTGATTACATTGAGCAATATTCTGCTATCAGCATAACAACAGCTCGAGATGTACCATCCTGCTCATCTAGAAGGTGAAGCAGAATCGGTATCACAATATTCGCCTGCCTACTATTGACAAGTGCCTCTTCCTGTGAGTGATTTGGCTTCAAAATGATAGCCTTGAATATTGAAACAACCCCTACTATCACATCTTCATCAGTGCACTTAAGCTGCAGACAAGAGGGAAAAGTAAATCTGATATTAAGTTCAACCGTCACTTTGATAAGAGAACCAATACTCAAATTACTTGATAGGCCCCTGATAAAAGAAAAGATTAGAAGGAGAAGGGCATAACACAATGGGACAGGTGGCATTTGTTGAGTGAATATATACAGGCAGGCAAGAACGGGTAGATGATAAGGTGTTGGCCGCAGTCTGGGAATGGGTATCTTTTTCTCATTATATCAATTTTATTCTGTAAGGACCCTACTGCTCCATTGTTTTCACCATTAATATCGTCTATAATTTGTTATTCTTCTGTTCTGAATTTCATCGCTGGTTAATTGGATTTCTGGTACATATCATTTCTGAACCACAGTATGATGATCATAGCTCAAAAAAAGTGAAATAACATGCAACTTGAAATCTTTACCAATATGCAGTATATTTGTGAAGAATTTAATGTTCATAAGACGTGATAGTGTATCTATCATCCATTAAGGAAAACCAGAAGTCCAACAGGAGCAAGAAAGGTTCCAAGGAAGTACTAGCAAAATAAATAGAAATAATATTTACCACTAAATCATAAAATGAAAGCACAGTAAGTTTTGACAAATAGGTAACATATTTCTTTAATATCATGATGAGAGTACACTGTAAATCTTAGGTTTGGATCATTGGAACAGAGATCCTGTGAAGGGAATGGAATAAATGTGTGCTCGGTAGCTATAGTTGAATCCAAAGAAATCCCCATTCCATTCCACCAGGGATAGATGTAATTTACAAGTGTACCCGTGGTCCTTTTGAATGGAAAAATCCATATCTCCAATTCACAATTGTTATAGTAACAACCTGGAAAATTAAAAAGAGGTAGAGTACAGATACCACCTACATTTTTCTTGATGCCAGTAGGTCATTAGAAATTAATTAACGCAATATTTTAAACTGAAGGTGTTATCCTATCACTACGTCCTAAGTTTTCAACTATTACTTCCCTGCTTTCAACGCTAGACAAACCACTCCATATATAGGAGATAAAATAGAGTAAAGGAATGCAAGTTTAGCAAAAGACAAGCTAATTCTAACATAATGGTAAAAATTGGACAACATTCAATTCCACAAGTCTCACATTTCAAGTATCGGGGATCTTTCAAACAAAGGGATGAGAGATAGAAGGACATGTCAACCATAGGACCCAAGTAGATTGTATGAAATGAAAAAAGACTTCAGGTTGGTATGCAATTAAAAATACTTATCAAGCCTAAAGGAAAAATTCATTGCAGATCTATAAGACATGTAATATTGTATAGAACTAAATTGGGCAGTCGTGTGTTCAGAAGACCTATAGAAACATCACGGAGGATAGTCAATGTTTTGAGGTATAAAAATGACCAAGGAAACTATAGGTCAAACCATAGAGAGAGAGAGAGAGAGAGAGACTAGGTAATGGTCTATCTTTGAATGCAATACATTATAGGACTTTATAACGTGACAGATCCATGAGTCAGCCCACCTGATAGGAAAAGGCATGGTTGTTGCTGATTTTGCATATAGTAGAAAAAGAGGGTGCAAGATGATGTGTATTTTTCTCTCTTTTTACTATGTGAGACTTCAAAGGTAAGGATGAAAAGAATCAGCTCTTACCATATGACTAGAAAATTGAATTTTAAACTTTTTCTCTCTTTTTTTCCTTTTTATTTTTGACTAAAACCTTATCCAATTCATTATTTATTTATTTATTAAAAAGGCATTGTTTACAAATATATCTTCAATGTATTTCCTCAAGATCTTAGGTAGAGATACCTGTGGTACTAGAATGCGTGAGATTTTCATCCCAATTTCTGACATTGTGCTTTCAAATCTCTTGCTGTCTAGACGCCCCAGTAGTAGGCATAAACAATTCAAGAAAAACTTTGTAGTCTCCAACCCACCATCCTTGTTGTCGGCAGATTCACTAGCGTGATTATCAATATAGTACTGTATTTTTCATGGATGTGAGCAACAAAACAATTCCATCATACATAATCATATAAAGCCGTTAAGAATTGAATTAACATGGCATTGTAGCATATATTAAATTCATTGAAAGCAGATGAGGCTATATGGTAGTCAAAATCGAGACTTTACTTGGGAATAAGAGGGGGACTCAAGATTGTAAATCATAGGGTTGTACCACAAATCATACATGCTGTGTGAATATAAAGTCATATATATGCATCTAAAATGGTGTAAATAGGAAGAAGAACATTAAAATCACTAAAATTACTTGATTAACTTGAACTCAAAACCCATAATATATATACACAGAATTCTTAGATCACAAATTAACAGCTTAAGTTAGAATATTAACAAGTAGTACAACTTACAACTCCAACTAGGAGTATACAAAGCACCAAGATTTTTGTAAACCCAAAGATATAAACACCAAAGTTGGATAGTCAAATACTAAACACCTAAACTAGAAGTTCAAATCATCAATATCATTGATCCCGCCAAAATACTTGCCAAACCCATCAATCTTAAACGTCATATAGATTGTTAGTCCTACATGCTCAAATCGGATTGCAGCTTTGCATGTGATCGCAATAGCGCGAGTCGTCAAATATCGTAGGATCGTGGAAGATCACGATTTTGATTATCTTTTGTTGGAATTTCCGCCTTCATTGCGGTCCGCCACTAGTCGCCTAAATTGCGGCATTTGGCTTGCCGTCATTACAGCCTCCAACACCTTCATTGTGTTGGGTTTGAAGGGGTAGTCGCCTAAATTGCGGCATTTGGCTTGCCTTCATCACAGCCTCCAACACCTTCATTGTGTTGGGTTTGAAGGGGTGGATTTAGTCTCATGATATGGCCTCTTATGTGTTTATAAATAAGTGGGGGCAATCACTACCTTACAAGTAAGTTTTCTAAGGTTGAGTTAGGTCTAACCCAAAATCTAAGATTGTATCAGAGCCTATTCTAGATCATTTGTGGGGCTTCTCACATCGTCCACGCTTCGGCCTCATTGAGGCCCGAGCATGAGGGATTGTGTTGGAATTTCCGCCTTCATTGCAGTCAGCCCCTAGTCTCTAAATTGCAGAATTTGGCTTGCCTTCATTGCATTGTGTTGGGTTTGAAAGGATGGATTTAGTCTCATTACTTAAAGATATGGTCAGTGTTGTGTTTATAAGTGGCAGCAATCCTCACCTTACAAGCCAGTTTTGTTGAGATGAGTTGGCCCAACCCAAAATCTAAGACCTTTGGATGAGGCCATACTGAAATGGGAACATGAGATGAGGCCATAATGTATTTGGGCCTGGAGAAGATACAAAAATACATATCAGGCTGGAGATGAGGCCAGATTGCATCTGGGTCTAATGATGGAGACTAGATTGCACATGGGATTAGACTCTAGAGATGGGGGCCAAATTGCATCTAAGACTATGCTATTCTATGAAAAGACAAGGTGAAACAAAGCCAGTATGCGACAAAATGAGTCAGTGACATGACAGGATGAAACAGAAACAGTCTACAGAAAGAAAGGCTAAAACAGAACTGATGTAAAGAAAGGAAACAAAGCCAGTGTAAAGGGCAGGCAAAAAGGGTCGAATTTGCAGAAAGATGGGATAAAATGATAACAAGTACAGCAAAGGCAGGAGTGGGACTAAAAGTTCAACAGTCAATACAGCAAAATTCACAAAGGAGGGATCAAAAGCAAACAAATATGAGAAAACTAAAGCACGACGATATAAAACTCAATGAAACAAAGAAACTGTGCTCAAGGTGGATACTGCAGCTTAAATATCATATTTAAATTATACAGAATTAAGAAGGGAAGCATGATAATAGAGAATATATATTTGAATAATATTCGCTTGTGCATAATGACTTAAAAACTGATAAGGTGTGATACGTAAGATTAAGCACTGGCCCTTTTTTTTATTAATATTAGACTAGAAGTCCTAATTAAAAAACAAAAGAATATAAAGAAATATAGAAACCAATTCAAGGAGACTCTGGGTAAATTTTATATGAAACAGTGAGCTTATTAGAGGAATTTGAGAAGAAAAGAAACTTTATCTGATTTTTCAATGTTATTGATATGGTATGTGAAGCTTTACATTGATTGGCATCTAAGCAACTTACAAAATCAGTTTAACTAAGCTGTATTCTGAAAACAATAATGGAACGAGTTGAATAACTTCTAACCTTGAACTAACTATTGACCGTTAATCATAACGGAAATAGAATCACATTATGTGTCACTAATTCACACATGCAAACAGTACATACAGTGATTAATACTTATGAGGGAAGAGGATACAATCAGCCTTCATTTTCTTTGCAAAAAAGACAATAAAATAAGTAAGAGATAATTATCTCCCTTGGAAAATATCAAACAGAAACCCAATGTTATATGACATACTGGGACACAAGGTGATTGCTGAAATTATTACAAAATATCATTGCAGTTAATTTCTACGACATCAAACCTGGATTCCAGACAGATATTGGTCCAACAGTTCCTTGTGATGCTGAGAAAATTTCTGATCTTCCAAGTGTAATAGCAAGTAATAATGTTTCCAGCAAGAAGAGAGTAGTAAATCCCCAGTCTTGAAAGCATTAGAATCTGTCTTAATGTAGTAGACAAAAAAATATGGTTCATAGAATTCTATGAGAATGAATTAAATATGAAGGAGCCATTAAAAAATGCAATGATTCCAGAACCTGCCTCGGGTTGAAAGGACCCATAGAGATCCTTAATCTCCTCCAGCCATTTAAGAACTTGCTCTAAGCCTTTGGCATGTAAAAAACGACTCTTTTTGCTCCACTGTTGTGAAAGGTTAAATAATTGAATAAGTTTGGTGCAAATTTTAACAGAATTACTGCTTAGACTATGTTATTTACATTCTAATTTCATGTGTACATGCACAATATAAATTTTGACTAAAACAATTGAACCCATTTTTGGAACCTATGGTATTTAAAAAATCCAATTTCAATACCAATAATAGTCCTTTGTGGAAACAGATCAGAGCCCATCATAAAAACCAAGGTAGTTTAATATCAGTAGCTAGCTAGTAGCTACTCTGGGGAAGAATGTGGAAAAGGGACTCAGTAGCTTCTCTTTTCATTCTATTTATTCACTATGCAGATCTGTCTGATGTTGAGCATGGAATAATAGGGCTAACCATAAACCATGAACATAAAATAAGAACAGGTGTTTGCACCAAAGTCAATTTGACATGAAAAGCTCCACAATTAAGCCACTGGCCTTCTAAAAGTCTTGCTCGTGGACTAGGTAGTTATATAATGCCATCACTTTCTACTGTTCACTTATTTGAAAAATTCTCCTGATTGGGTGTCATAATTTCATAACATGAATATTGTGTATGACATCTTGTCTAAAACATAATGATTCAGTCCAAAATTCAGTATAACTTACAGAATGAAGTCTTTGCACCAAACAAATAAGGTCATCTATATGATGCCAGAGAGTGTAATCCTTTTCAAACTTTGACATCAACAAAGATTTCGAATCTGATTTCACCTTCTTGTCAACAGTAGGACATTGTATGAAAGTGATTGCCTGATCTTTTGTTTTTGTATTAATTTTTGACTTCTTATCTTTAATCTTGGCCCCTTTTGTCAATGCCCCCGAAATGGCCAAAAAGCAGTCAGCGGCAGATACTCCAAGGCGAGATGGCAACTCAAAACCATCCTGCAATATGCTGAAGCGCGAGAGATCAGAAAACAAAAATTGATGGGATAATAAGAGTGTATACCCTGTTTGTAAGAGTATACCTATATATATGGAGATGCTAACCCATAAAAGGGGCAAGAGTAAGATATAGATTTGACAATATCGGAAACTTAAATGGATAACATGTTGCTGCAACAAAGAACAAACATGAAACAGCAGATTTATGAAGATGTACAGCTACATACGATTGAGATTGTTATTACATCCGAACAATAATCAGTCAATCTCCTGACTGCATAGTGTAAACATTATCTAAAATACAAGAATGTAGGTCGTTAAACATGCAATAGTTTTGGCATCACTTTACTAAAATAGAAATAGCGGTAGTAAAGGGTACAATTTTGATGAATGTTCAGGGCCCAAATTGAAGGTAACTTAAATACACAAACACACAGGCAACATTCTCTCCGGCTACAGACATTGCATATAGAAGCAAAATCAAACACTAAACAACATTAACTTCCATCATTTACAAGGCAAAAGAGATTCATCAGTAAGGAGAATACCTTTCTTTACTCACAATTCCTGCCAAATCAGGAAGGCAAGTTGAGAGTATCTTCAATAAATCAACATACCTATCTCTTATTCCTGCCAAACACAATAAAATTACACAAACAACATCAAGCAAATTAGCAAACAACTTTACCCTATTTTGATAATCCATGTATATATGATGAAAACTTTAATAGTGAAAACTGCAAACTCACCACCGAGCATAGATTGATGAACAGAACTTTCATAATCTACAAGGCTCCTAAGAAGGAGACACCAACCAAACAACAAGTAACGATCATGGTTTCTGGTGATGATACTAGCAAGGGATTCAACAACAGGTACGAAAATAAGTTCATCCTGAAAAAGCCAGTTGAGGAGAATCATAGCTTGGCCACCGTGCTTTGAGTCCTTACATTTCAACGACTGAAAAACAAACCAAATAAATACGGAATTACGAAAACGAAAACAAAACTAGCATTTTAATCAATAAAAAAAAAGGGAAATTGAATACGCTGTGGATAATTGGAACAAAGAGTTGATCGAGTGAACGGTTGTGATTGGCGGCGTCGGTAGCGAAAGAGTGGAAGAACAGTAGAGAATCGTGGAGAGAAGCGGTTGTGGTTGGAGAAGGAGAATGTGATGAGAGTCGAGAAATAGAGTCGTGGAGTTTGGTGGGACGAGCGGAGAGAAGAGAAGTGATGGAGCGTGTGAGCGTGACGGAGACGATGGATTCGGGTTGGGGCTCCGATTTCCATAGTAACTCGTTTTCTCTGCCGGGTACTGATGCCATAGTATTTGCCTAGTTGTGGAGTTTGGTTTCTGCTACTAGCTGCTTCTCCAATGCTAAAACTAAAATGGCGTTTTTAGTTTTTTCTTCCACATGGTGGAGAAACACTTAAAAGAAATTCGAAAATATTTGAATGAGAATCCGAAAATACGTTTTTAAACCTATTTTTTCACACCGTACGCATCTGTAAATAAATCACACATTTTTATTTAAATTGATCTAAAATAAAAGTGTATTTTTTTTATTTTATATTAATAAAATTAATTAATATTATTATTATTTAAACAATAATTTTTTTATATAATATTTTTAATTATTTTTTATATTTTTTATATGTAATAAATATGTATGAATAATTTTGACAAAAATATAATTAATATCATCTTAAACTTAAGTGACAATTAAAAAAAACAAAATATTATTTAAAAAATTGGCCCTAAAAAAACGGAGGGAATATCTGCTACCAAAATACCTTAGTCACTTCTTTTTAAGTTAGTTTAAATTGTTGAATAGTTATTTTGGACTAAACATTCTTACAATAGTTTAATATAATTGTTTCTCTCATTTACCAACTTTAACCATAATTATTTACCATTTTAAATGCTGGAAAATGAAAATAATATATCTCTTGATATTAAGAGGCTTCATGTGAAGGTTTTTGTTGATTATATATAATTGGCCAATTTATTCTCACATTCTATTTAAAAATTATCTTGATTTAACCTTTTTTGAGATGTTAAAAAAAAATTATTTTGTAGATGGTAAATTTATCACTTGAAAATCAATTTTTTCCACACCATCTATTTGATAAAATGTTATAGAGAATTATCATAACTTGCGAGGTTTAAAGTGTGGTTCTTTGAAAGGTAAGTTTTTAATTTATATTTATGATGATTTGATGAAGATTCGTCCATGCAGTTTACTAATTGTAATAAAATGATGCAATCTTACGGGACATGGACTACTCTTGTGGCGTTTATCAAATGCATGAGGTCTATTAAAGAGTATGTGTTTGTCGTGTCAGAATATTCGAATGTAATAACATTAGAAGACCACCTTACTCCTGATCTTCAAGCCAAAGTGGCTCAAGTTAGTTACTTGAAATTCTATTGGGATTCAAAATGTTTACATTAAAAGTATTCATACTAAGACCACCTTAACTTCGGTTGAGTCGCATCTATTCAAGGTAAAGATAGTTAAATCTACGACAATGTTTGATATCGTACATGTCCATAGTTGATTATAGTAAGCACAAACTCCAATAAACAATTACATGAGAGAGAGAAAAATTAGATTTTGATTGGCAACTGAATTAGAAGAAAAAATTTGTGGATCAATTATGTATATATTGTTAACATCAAACATGTTCTGAATTTGCTTCTATAGTTTTTGCTATTGCGTTTTTATTCAATTGCAAACCTTCACCAAAATTCAATTGCATTTAATGATACTCACCTCTCTATTAATGCTATTGCATTTTTATTCAATTGCAAACCTTCACCAAAATTCAATTTTTTAATTTTAAATATTCAAATATCATTGGTTTTGATACTTTCATACAAACATGACTTAGGTTCTAAGACCATACAGTCTGATTATGAATTTATGCTAACACTGATCTTTAACACTCTCGTGTTAACATAATATTAGTGTGTGTGGCCTGTTATGTCATTAGGCATTCAATGGCATGAAAAACACCGTCAATCTCTCATTTGATGTTCTCTGGCTCATCTTCTACCTTTCTATTTCTTTTTTTCAATATTCAAACTCTATTCTCTACTCAGATTAAGGGTCTGTTTGGTTCAAATGAAGGGAAGGGGAGGGGAGGGATTTTAACGAAGGGGAGGGGAGGTGAAAGAATTTTTTAATCAAATAAGTGTTTGGTTCAAAAGAGAGGAGGGGAGGGGAGGGGAGGGGAGGGATTTTAATTAAAAATGTGTTTGGTTCAGAAGGGGAGGGGAGGGGTTTTATATTAATAATTTACATTTTTATCCTTATGATCTTATATAAGTCATATGATATTAAAATGTGAAAAATTCGGGCGTATTTTTGTTGGTAATAAAATTTCTAATATTGAGTGATTAAAAAAATATTTATTTGTCACTAAAGTTAAAAAATTGAGTACAATCGATTCGACTTATAACTTTCCAACATAAATTAAACTATATGCCAATAACATCGTTTAAATTTTGATGAATCATATAACAAAACAAATATATAAAATAACTTATTATTAAATATTAATGGTTCAAAATATTTAATAAAATGAATAAACAAAAATAAATAAAATGATATGGTTTACAATTTGATATAAAAGAAAATATGATAGAGTACATAACAAAATTAAAAGAAAAAAACGAATATAACGAAACATAATTTTTTTTATAAAAAAAAAGACAATGATGATGATTTATATTAATTATAAAAATTATAAAATAATTTGAAGGTGAAGAACAATTATAATAAATTGATGAAAACAATCGAGAAAAAACAGTAACATAAAAGATAACAAATAGTTTTGAAATAATAAAATTAAACTGTGGATATTTTAGTAAATATAATAACTTTTAAATATCAAAACTAATATTTCCTCCCCTCCCCTCCAAATCCCCCCAATTCGGAGGGAAGCAAAAAGTGTGTTTTGAAGAGATTTTGCTCCCCTCCCCTCCCCTCCTAAAATTTGAAACAAACATATTTAATTAAAATTTTCCCTTCCCCTCCCCTCCATCTACCCCGAACCAAACACACCCTAAGGTTTTGTTCAAACATTTGTTCATCGTTATAGTTCCTTTGTATTCTAATTTTTCGTTTGCTTCATCTTCAAGTGATATATCCATAAACATTTCAATCATCACTCATAAATGGTTCCAATTGTTATCTATTACATAACACAGATATACAAAAATGACTCTTCCATCTTTTTGAGATTGCCATTTTAACATTCAATTTATTTTGTAGTTTTTATTTGTTAAAAAATTCATGGGTTTAAGAAAATTTTGTTAATCAATTTTGTAACTCTAAAACTGATAAAAACCAACCGACCACCCATAAATCCCGTAAAACCACATCTGTCGGAACCGAAATCTCAGACGAACGAAATTGGATTGTGTTTTTCTAACTGTCGGTTTGTTTGGATTTGAATTTTGAGTCTGAATCCAACCTTCATTGTCCGTAATTTAAAGACAATTAATGTGGTCTTTTTTGTTTTGGGTTAAATTTACTTTTGGTTTTTGCATAAAACCTCGAGTTTGGTTCTATTGGATTTTGTGATATAGATTCTATTATAAATTATTTTTTGTTCTAATATGTAACTGTTGATTGCAATATTGATATCAAGGGTAAGTATTTGTTTTATCGTATCTACAGGAATTTTTGTGATATCAATGTCATTCAACATTTACCATGACTTTAAGCGTAAGTTTGCAAGATGTCTAATGGTTTAAAGCTAAAAAATGTAAAACAGGTGAATGATAAATAAAATTTCATGGAGATGAGAGTTTGTCATGATTGAATTTCATCCACCGATAGAATATGTAATTTACCAACCAGTTATACACAATTTAAACATTTATCAATATCATCATGTATCACTCGCTGACAATGTTTATGTCTAAACTCCTGACGAGAGTTCAACCGTATTGTTGAATCGATGATCTCTCAGCTTATTAAATAATACAATAGCATTAAGACTCGATACTCAAGTGAATGTTAAATTTAAAACAATGTCTAGAGTTTAGCATCTAACAGATGATTATCCTAGATCGAGATTCAAAGAGTATTTCTCAATAACAGTTCAAATCAATATGTAAAATAAGTAAACAAGGATAACATCAATACTAAGTCATGAATAGATTGTACATAATGCATGGTTCAAAATTTCAAAAGCACAAGCAATGTGATGCTTACCACTATACTACAATCAAACCATGATCGTGAAATAAATTCTAAACAAAAAACTCATGTCATAAATTCTAAAGCAACACATGTTCAATCATAAATCACACCTAGGACATATCTTCAAATTTTGATGAAGAACAAAAATGAGGGACTTGACTCACACCCAACAATATTACTAACATCTTGATCAACTCATGCTTTCGTCCAAGCAAATCACATTGAAAGCACAAAAGCACAAATCACAAAGAACTTTCAAGTGTTGTACTGAGGCTTGGTTGACAAAGAAGGGTCATATTTAAAAGTCTTTAAAACAAAGTTGTCAAACTCTAGAAGAACATTCACTTTTCAAATTCTTTACGATTCACAACTACATTTACCATTTCTCTTTGTTTAGATGATACACTCTTGATCACACTTGCTAGAATAACTTATTTGTGTTAAACAGTGTAGGTGATATGGGGTTTTGTATATCGTCTCCACAAGAATTCTCGTGATATCACTAGTCATTCTGCAATTTAAATTATTTTAAGAAGGGTTTCCAAATTTTGTTTGTTTTGGATCATAAGTTTGTCAAGATTTATGTAGCAAAGATTAAAATTCTAAAAGATGTTGTTTAACAAGATATATCAAAGATAGATTTCGTCAACCTAACTTGCATATATTCGATTAATCAAGCATGTGAACTTGTTTACGATTAATACAATCATATATCCTCTCAATATCGTCTATGTCTAGAGCAGTGTCGTGAATATTATTGTATTTGTTATTAGATGATGTCTCATGCTAGCAACCGATACAGTAATGGTTAAGAACAACACAAAGCAAATTCAACTCACAAATCTATGTCTAGAGTTTGTTTATTGATAGATGAATATTTTATATCAAGGTTTGTCAAATATATGTCTAGAGTGATATTAATCATAAATGGATCATGAAGAGTAAAAACATTCAACATATATTAATCATTCACTTGTTCGCATACAAATAGATCAAAAGAAATACATACAAGCTAAGATATACTACCTCTATCTTTGACACAAAAGACTTAGCTACCATTGTCATGGTAGCTTGCTCTATAAGACAAGAAAGAAGATGAATGAGCATCC